ATCCGTCCTTGTTTATATTACTCTTTAGAATAAACTTTATTTCTTGTTATAATAATTTCTTTGGTAGGTTAAGTTTAGTTTATTCCGCCAGGAAAAAATGTGCAGTCAAGCAAAAGGCATAACAAAAACATACAAAAAGAGAACACAGTGATACATTTTGCTCCCTATGGATAGTTATGGAAGCAATTTCACAGAAAAATGACTTGAATGGATGCCTTCTTTTTCGGTGAAGGTTCTGAATATCCTTTCGCTCTGTATGAAGCTCATTCAGTTAAAGAGGCTTCTTCACCATTTTCTTTAAGCATATTACTATGAGAATTGAGAAGTTCATTTACTGCTTAAAGTTGGAATGGGGACTTTCTATTATAAACAGAGTAGATTTGGGGTATTCACAAGAGGAGCTAACAAATAAGTTATGGTTTGTATCCAGCAGTATGATTTCTTACCAGGTGTTTTATGTTTGCAGGCTTCCTACCAGAAGAGTGGGATAACTTCTTTGTTAATTATCTCTACCCATCATTTACGCCGACTGTCTTCTTATTTGTCTCTGGAACAGTTGTTTACGGAGTATCGAAGTACCTGCAGAATGAGAAAACTCAAAAGTGAAAAATAATCTTTCATGAATGTGAATATATATATCTAGACGAAAGAGGTGTCTCTTGCAGTTTAATGGTGACCACAGTTTAGTTTGTCTGGCAACGCCTTTGCTTGTCATGCTGGGGAGAAAAATGTATGAGTGCTCTACTGATAATTGAGACCAAATTGCTGAGCATCTTTCCAATGTAAATGAATCTTGTCATTTGGTTTTGAAACAGTTCTACCGAGTATAATTACCTTTCTCAAAATTGCTTTGTGGTGCACCTCTACAAGGGTATTCTTTTCTTCAAAAATATTACATATGTGGTCTCTGTGATCTAGAATAATCTGTTCAGATTAAGGCACAGTGATATGTTATCTCTTTGTTGATCATCTTTACCATATTTACTGATGGTTTGGTTCCTAATAAACAGGAATGCTACAGCTAAAACATAAGATGATGTAGAAGAAGAAATTCTCCCGATATGGCCTCCTACATCATCAGTTTCCCCTTCNTTCCTAATAAACAGGAATGCTACAGCTAAAACATAAGATGATGTAGAAGAAGAAAATCTCCCGATTTGGCCTCCTACATCATCGGTTTCCCCTTCCCCTTCGCTACCAGATCTTTCTCACCTTTTGAACCAAACGCCCCCTGATCTCAACCTTCCCCGGCTACTTTGCTGGAATATACATACTCAGGTTGACTGGGAAATTAGTTTTTTTTTTTTAAAAAATGATTGTGTGCTTGCACTTTGCTTGAAAACTGACCAATTTGTGTATCTGTGTATGATGTCAATCGTGAATGTGAGATGTAAGTGCAGGATTACATCTGCAGTAAATTGCATAACACATGAAGTTATTAAACTAAAAACAGTTTACTGAAAAACATTCCAATTTGCTGGTGATTGCGTACATCCCGAATGTTGGTAGCCGTCAGGATTCCCAAGTGTGCATGTTAATTTGGGATAATTCTCGATTGGTCTAACTTTTTCTGATGTCTCTCGTGCTTAAACTAAGACCCTTTCATAAAGAGGTTCCTCCTCAAATATGTATATGCACTCTCCCTATTATAATAAATCACAGCTATTCAGAAGAGGAAACTCGAAACGATAGTAGTAAACTACCATACAAGGTTGTTTGACTATACAAAGAGATTTTTTTTTCTTTTTGATGTGGAAAGTATAAAAAAAAAAAAAGGGGGGGGAAAAAGAGTTAAAATTAAGTTATTTCATCTAGGCCCAAAAAACATGTGGAGGGTACCAACAAAACCCTAAAATGCAATTACTCATGTTGGTTGGAAAATTTTGAAAATTTACCCTAGATTTTATTTCCATTTACAAGGCATGGGAAATCATCTATAAAAAGTATATGTTTCCTCATAAAAACTCCATTATCAAACTCTTTATATCTTATCAACGGTAACGGTTGTTTTGATGGCTTCCGCCCTCGCTATTGGATCTTAAAATCACGGGTTTAAACTTCTTCATTCTCTCCTTGACAAAAAAAAAAAACTCTATTTATTAGTACACCAGCAATAAAATCAGTTCGAGATAGTTTGTTATCAATGGCCGCCAGTGGATTCCATCAAGTNCTCTATTTATTAGTACACCAGCAATAAAATAAAATCAGTTCGAGATAGTTTGTTATCAATGGCCGCCAGTGGATTCCATCAAGTTAGAACAGAGAACTATGCGTTCATGGTAGTGTACTATAATGATCTTTATCTTTTTTTCTTTACAATTCCTTTGGAAACTTTCTACTACTACTCTCTATTCCTTTTATTTCTTGTCAGTTTAAATCATTGATCTTCAATCATATTCTTTACAGACTTGCGTTCTGAGAGTGAACACACGATCTCAAGGTTGGCAAAAGACTCTGATGAATATGCTAAACAGTGTCCAAGGTACATCTTTCATGCATGTTTGGTTATATGTAGTTATTATTTTTCTTTTTTTTTTATATATATTGATTATATCAATTTTGCATGAGTGTTCAAGTTCAGTTTTTTTTTTTTTTTCAAATTTTTGTTGTAGGAGTATCGAACTTCAGAATGAATGAAGATGGAATGGTGAAAATTTCCGGCACCGTCAATCCAAACCACCTTCTGAAAATGCTTGCAAAAGGAGGGAAACGGGCGGAGATGTGTTGGTTTCAGTTCGGAGAATGTTCAAGCAACCTGTACATGCCGGACCAGAGAACTTACTATGATTGCACTGAATATGGTTATTGTGGAGATGACTGGTTGCATGGTTATGGAGAACAAGGTTACTATGGTGGTTATGGCGGAACAGAGTACTATGGAGATGATAGGTATCTCCATTATGGGGATCGTCCTCGGCCAAAGCATAGGGATAAACCCTTGCAACCATTGCCTTGCAGTCACGGGGCTATGGGGCCAAGACATATTGCTAGTGCCCCGGACCTAAATGGTGAAGGCATCAGCGGTTGCTGTCACATTTTGTGAGATGTTAGAGACATGGCTGGATCAGCTTTAGGGTTTGTTCGGTAGCTTAGTGATGCATGATGCTATCTATTTAAAGGAAGGATTCGAGAGTTTCCAAATATTTAGAGGATTTCTCGGAAAAGTAGTATGTTTGTAGGATTTTATTTTTAAGGTTATAAGTTTTGGAGTTGGAAGTATTTTGATAAATTTAGATATGTTGATGATAAGAATTCTTTGAGTGAAATTACCTCCGATATATGTTATTTTTAATTTCTCTTTTTATGAATCATTTATCGTGTATTTAAATAAAATTCATTGTATACAAGTGANGAGTGAAATTACCTCCGATATATATTATTTTTAATTTCTCTTTTTATGAATCATTTATCGTATATTTAAATAAAATTCATTGTATACAAGTGAGTCTCTTGTTCATTAATGGTAAATAANTTGAGTGAAATTACCTCCGATATATGTTATTTTTAATTTCTCTTTTTATGAATCATTTATCGTGTATTTAAATAAAATTCATTGTATACAAGTGAGTCTCTTGTTCATTAATGGTAAATAATTCGTCAAAGAGAGAAATGAAGAGAAAATAGATTAAAGAGAATCTAAATTATACCTTTAAGTTTTTTTTTTTTTTTTTAGATTATATCTACAAGTTGATTGCAGTTTACAATGGATGCCCCAGGAAAAGGAACGGTTCAACTGATTTTTTTTTTTGGTTCAATGGTAAAATATGTTCGAACCAACATACTGTTTACACACATCTCAATTAATTTTCAAATAATTTCCTCTCTGTTCTAGTCAAAAACAAATCATCTACGCTAAAACTAAAATATTCATAAAAAATAAATTGTTCTTGGTCAAATTATAAAATTACCAATATTCGTTTAAATTTTCACTCATTTTCTTGAATCCCTTTTACCGCTGATTTTCTGAATCCTTGTGAACTATACTTACTTATCCCNGGATTATATCTACAAGTTGATTGCAGTTTACAATGGATGCCCCAGGAAAAGGAACGGTTCAACTGATTTTTTTTATTTATTTTTTTGGTTCAATGGTAAAATATGTTCGGACCAACTTATTGTTTACACACATCTCAATTAATTTTCAAATAATTTCCTCTCTGTTCTAATCAAAAACAAATCATCTACGCTAGAACTAAAATATTCATAAAAAATAAATTATTCTTGGTCAAATTATAAAATTACCAATATTCGTTTAAATTTTCTCTCATTTTTTTGAATCCCTTTTACCGCTGATTTTCTGAATCCTTGTGAACTATACTTACTTATCCCCAATAATGGTTCATCATAGTAACATTTTTGAAGAATGGCTTTCACGTTGTCCAATTTTTGCGGATTGGCTGCTTCTTTCTTCTGTTTCATGATATAATGCAATACATAGAGTTTCATGTTCCTAATCCTACCCCATCCAATGTTAAAACAGGGCACAGCTAACTTAATATTTTAAGAAACCAAGGCTAATTTATCTATGGCAATGAATTCAGTACTTGGGTCCCCACCATTCGCATTGCTCTATAATATAAGAAACCAACCCTTAGAACTGGTACCACAAAACTATCTTCACAGCTATTTTCACCTCCGACTCATCCAGGGCTATTTTGTTGAAATGATTGTAATCGACATCCTGAATTTAAATGGATACATGATCTATTCACAGGAAATGATTTTCAATGAAGGTCATCAAACTACCAGGCAATACTAAATCCTCTATGGAATACTGGAGTAAACTTAGGACTGAATTCAAAATGCATGAAAGCCAACAAGAAAAAACATTGATCAAAACATTAGAAATATTTTGTTCTTTCTTTCACTGTCAAGCAACATAATAAGATTAAAACTCTAATTTGACAAATATTTTTCCAACCTAAGGGAAAACAATCTTGCCCACTCAAGAAAGCATACATATGATAGTCCCAAAACTTATCCAGGTAGCATCATCGCCTAAGCCACGAGCGTGCTAGCAGTGGTAGACTCGCTGCAAATGAGAAAACTTTGAGTTAGCTATATACCGCAGGGCTATCAGTAGGTCTGTGAAGCTTCTAAAATGAAACAAATGGCACAGAAAGAGACGAGGTTGATTGTTCAATGAAATTTGAGTTCAAAGAAAAAAAAATGGAAGAACATGAGTGAGCAGGGAGATTTCCAGTAAGATAATACATACACAGCATCACTTCGATCAAATTACTTTGCTCAGGTTGGCTAGTAAAACAAAACTACGTGGAAGAAATAACAATTATCTCTATCAAAGGGCTTTATTTCTAATCTAGCACTCCCACAGAAATTTTGGCAAAATAGGCTATTCCACTTCCTCAACTTCAGAAACCCAAAGTTGTCATGTAACAGATAATAACATATGCGAAGTAAAACACATCAGAAAGTGTAACAAAGAAGAGAGGAGAGGATAAGAGAATGAGAATTACAAAGAACATGTTAAGCAGNTGTTCAATGAAACACATCAGAAAGTGCAACAAAGAAGAGAGGAGAGGATAAGAGAATGAGAATTACAAAGAACATGTTAAGCAGCTGCATAAGGAACTTTCACAAACACTTTACAAACATTTACCAGCGCACATAAGGATCTGAGTAGGAAGTGAGAAATGGCATAAGAAGCACTCATCACAAGCTAAAGTGATTTGGAATCGACATAGACTATCATCAAGTCGCTCCAGTGACCTTATCAAACAGAACTATTAAACTACTGTACTCAACCACCACCTTGCAAGAACTTGATTACAAAAATTGTAGTACATATCCGATCAAGTAATTCACAACTACCAAGTACGGTTCATGAAGTGCAAAAATAGAATCACGTCAAGATATTCACAAGACACATTAAAATACAGCATTAGATAGGAATTTCACTGCAAAACCCATCAGCTAATTCACAAAAGTTCATTATAAACAGGTTCATAGGGACAAGCAACGAAGGAAATGCAATTTTTCTTTATTTTATCAAAATATCCCAAAAACGTTGAACTACTTTTTTCAGAACCTTATTCAGTAGGGTTTTAGATAAGAAAAATTACAGCCCCTATGGTTCAGTTATTTTCAAGGGATTTTTTCGCCATGTTTGACTTCATTCAGATGCATTACGATAGCACTGAAAGACATTCAATCACAAATCATAAGCAATCTGGAAAATTTACACAGGTATGAAATAACATTTAAGATATTCATAACATCAAGAGAAACAAACACCACACACAATCAATTTTGAGCATAACTTCATATCAGCAAACAACAAAAAAATATGGAGAGAGAGAGAGATAAGGCTTACTATTTCCAGACTGGAGGGAGCTTCTTAGTCTTCTTGTAGTAGCGAGCGAGTCGGTGAATCCTACTCTCAACGAGAATCAATCGGAACTTAGAGTCCTTGTCCTTCCTGTTCCTTTCAAGATGTTTGCGAATTGCGACGGCCTTCTTGATCAAATGGTAGAGATCCTCAGGAATCTCAGGCGCAAGCCCTAATAACCAAACCAAATTGAAACCTCCCGATCAACAATGAAAACTAAACATAGATAGATCGAATTGGGACAATTAGAAAAATGTTACTACCGTGTGCCTTGAGGATACGCAAGATCTTGCTTCCAGTGACGCTCTTGACCTGAGCTATACCGTGAGAGTCACGAAGGATGACACCGATCTGTGACGGCGTCATACCTTTCTTCGCGAATTTGCAGATGTTTTCATCAACCTTAGAAGAAATCAGAACAAAAAAAATTACAGAATTGTAAAAATTTACACACATTAACAAGCAAGTAGATAAAGATTTATAGTAACATAATAAAAACTCACATCCTGAGCAGAGATCTTGAGCCAACTGGGAGGAGTTCTCTTGTAAGGCAAAGCTGATGCAGAGATACCCTTCCTGAAAGCACAAAAAACTCAAGATCAGACTCATGGTTGAGAATGCAGAGAGAAAGTACTGTGGAGAGAGAAAGAGACCCGTGACTGTGCATGCGACCCATGGTGGCGGAGGTGGTTGTGGAGGCGGTCTGTGCTCAGCTTCTTTGCTTCTTCTCTCAGACGAAAGCCACAAAACGCTTGGTCCAATTAGGGTTTATCCGGCGATGTATAAGTAGGACCATGATGTTATGAAATCTCCATATTACCCTCCTGCCTTTGTCTCATTGACATTTATGTTTCCGGGTGGTGGATGCATGACCTGAGCCAGTCCACTAATCATGGCCCATCTAACATAGCCTGGCTCTACGGCCCAAACTGTTGGATATATAGTCGGGTCGAGTATTTTGGGCTGAAATTGGGATAATAAACTATTCTCTCTCCTAAATTGATTTTTCAGAGTTTCTCAACTATTCTCTCTCTTAAATTGATTCTTTTAATATATATATATATAATATAAATTATGGATTCAAATGATCTGTAATACTAAACGAAAGGGGATAATGGAAAAAAAAAATCTAAATATCCTATTATGGCATGCTTGGCCATTGGATACCATAAGGCTGAGGACAAAATTCTTTCTATTGGGAGGAGGGGAACACTGGACATTCATTTTCCAGGGAAATAGGCCAACCAACAAAGAATGCTTGCACAACAATTTTCTAATTTGTGTATACAAAAATTTCAATTTCAAAAGCCGTCAATTTCAGTTATGTTCAAGTATCTATCGTTAAATTTATTGAATCCACACTTCACGGGAATTCATAATGAGACCCCATGATTTAATGTTGAATGAAGTGAACTTAAACTGATGGCACTTCATATAAGGAAAATCAATAAGGATATACTTTTGATTAGGCACTAGAATTGCTGATAAAGGTGGTGCTTATTCGAGGACGAGAAGAATGTCTCCAGCTTCCTTCCAATTCAGCTTGCCATTGAGTGCATCCAAACAACAAGCACGCATAAACCCCATCATTTTCAATGCAAAACCAAGAGAGAGAGGGGCAGAGACGACTGGGTAAGACTGATTTGCTTAAGACCAAAAATGCTAACTTAGCCACAGCAATAGCATGTTAGAATTTCCCTCCCGGACCCTTGACTGATTGAAATGCTTAGAGCAATTGAAAAGTTTGTCAAAGACCGAAAAGATCCTCCCAACAGGAGATGAAGTCCATGTCTCAAATTAAATTAGCCTGCAGATCAGCCAGTTTAAACCTGAGGGATAAACCCAATGGTATCAGCAAGTCCATTCTTTAAGGTTTAGACCTGTAATAGCTGTATCTGCAAGCAAGAAAAGAAAACGATCGAGTTCAATGCTGGTTTAGCCCTGAAATATTTTACAGAGAAGGGGGTGGCGGGGGAGGAGGCAAGTTCCCACTGAACTACACTGTCACAACAGAAAATTCAACAAACACAAAACATTGAGTACTATACAAATTGTTCATCAACAGCAAGCAACTGAAAACTGAAAAATTATAATGAAAAAGAAGATTTCCAATTTTTTTTTAAAAAAAAGTTCTGACTACAAGAGGAAAGGAAAATGCAGGCCCCCTCTCTTCATGCGCACGAACAATACAGCCAACACAACATCACCTGCACGTGAAAGCAAAAGGTCCAAAGTTTCAAAACATTATTATTAGTGACTCGGACTGGATCTCAGACATAGAAGAGAGTAAATGTGGTTGCTAGAGTGCTTATGAGGTCACAGTGATACATAATAGGAGCCATAATAGTTTGTCTTAGAGACCTACAATGACTACAAAGCTGTATCAAAAGATCTCATTTACCATTCATCAACTAAAAGAAAAGAAAGTTTAGAGTTGGTCATAACCAATGATGGTCTATCTCTGGTCTACAACTTCCCCAACCAAAGTTCACAAACAAGTGTTCCATCTCAACCTAGGACCCAGATTGATCCACATATGTCGAGTACATTCACCTTATCATTTCTCCAAGACTTTTTATATGTTGTTTCCATACAAAGAGTACAGACAACCTCAATACAAAGAGAGACTTAGTTACGAAAATTTGTTAATTGCTCTTGAATTGCAATGATCAACGCTCTAATTCAGCACCTTACTTACTATCCCGAACCTCAATCAATTTGCATAATTTCAAATGCAAAACTCACTAGAAAATGAAATAAGAAAAAAGATATTTAGATTTCGAAATCATAAAGATCCATATCCAAAATAACTTAGAAAATTTGCAAATAACCAACCCATACAATGAACCCATGTGAAGCAGGAAGTAAATGTTTCGTGTTTGGATAAGAATTGAGGAGAAAAGGAGAAGGCGTGAGTTCCCAGACCCTTCTTCTCCTTGTCCCAAAGGTGATAAGAGATAGAAGTGTCCCTTCAGGGACATTGGACAAATTGGAACGAAATAGAGAGGAAACACAAGTCCTTAAGTATGTTACTACTATCCTTTCCTTTCCTTCTTCTCTTGGTAACCAAAACAAGTTGAGGTGTTATTATTCTCCTTGCTTTTCTTGTTCGATATCAATGATCTTATCCTAATGCGATGTCGAGTGAACTTGTGTTTAATCCTTCTTTTTTGTATTGGGGGCGGGGAAAAGTAGTATTCTTAGCTGTTGAAATCGATCACTGTCTCATTGGTGTCCTGTCATCGAATTGATTCAAAAAGCACCACACATGCATAATAACATAGCAATTACATCAAATATAGACTGTGAATCTGCGAAAATGAGGATTGTAGTCCTTATTCACGATAACTTTAGTCGACCCCAATGCACAAAACTCCAGTCTAATATAACAGGATCTGGAACATAGTGGGTCGTAAATAGCCTCGCCTCCATTCTGAAGGATGAGCGCTTATTCATATGCAGGTCTAAGTGTGTTCAATCAACAGTTCGTGTGACAGTGTATCAATAATCAACATGAAATACACAAACCCGTTAAAACACGACACGGATAAATCACACTGCAACTGCATAATTACAACGACATATGTATTTTTTTTATGAGCACAGAAGAGAAAACATGCTATTTTTTTTATGAGCACAGAAGAGAAAACATGCATATTTTGAACAAACGAACGACTATGTATCTTATTAACACATTCGCCAAGAAAATAACAGCATTTGAATCACCAATCCAACATTGAAACTCAACAGTATCAAGTCACAAAAACAAGCTCAACCATCAAATGCCAGAGAGAGAAAGAGAGAGTTATACTAACATCACTTAGCGACCATCCTGGCAATAAACTCCTCATACCGGATCTTCCCATCGGACCCAACATCCACCTCCCGGATCCACTCATCAAACTCCGCAGGATCCAGCTTCTCCCCAATAGAGGTCAAAATGTGCCTGAGATCCGAAACGCCGACGTACCCAGTCCCGTCCTTGTCCAAAACCTTGAACGCGTCGCGGAGCAGTCGATCGAACGGCTCAGGCTTGAGGTGCTTTGACATGAGATCGAGAAATCGATTGAAATCGAAAGACGAGGTCAGGTTCTCCTCGGCGATTATCGACTTGAGCAAGGCTTGGGTCGGGTTGCCACCGAGAGAACGCATGAGGATACCGAGTTCGGACGGGGCGATTTTGCCGTCGCCGTCGGTGTCGAAGAGCGTGAAAGCTTCTTTCATCGATGAGACTTGGTCATGGCTCAGATCTTTCCCCATTGTTGATCTCTGTGTGTGTCCCTCGAATTTCCTCTACCAACTTCTCTGTATCTCTCTCGACTGTCTTAGAATTTTGGGGTGCATAAGAGAAAAAGTAAATGAAATAGGGTCTTAATTGTAATTAGCTGGAGTCTGAGGGCCATTTCATGATTTTATTTAAAGTTGATAGAAAGTTTAAGCCCAACCCTGAATTGGGCCTTGAAAATAAACATAAAAGATGAGTCAATCGGAGCCCAAACTTTTTTTAAACAAAATGATTAATTACACTGGTGGTCCACAAAGTATAGAATTTGTCTCGTTGTGATCCTTAATATTTCAATTGTATCATTTTATATTTGTATGTAGTCTTTCAAATAGATAATGTCCAGATTACTAACGATTTTTTATAATAAACTTGTCACATAACACATAAATATGAAAAAAAAAATAATTTGGATAACTCTTGACGAAATTTCTATCCAAATTTTAGTCAAAGAGTTACCAAAATTACACAATTTTGATCATGAGTTATCTAAATTTTGGTCAAGAGTTACCCATATTACACATTTTTTTGTCAATAGTTACCTAAATTTTAGTTAAGAATTACCAAAACTATATTTTGTCTATATTTAAATATCATGTGACAAGTTTATGATAAAAAATTATTAATAATTTAAATATTGTATGTTTGAATGATCATATACAAACATATTATCAGGGAACAAAATTATGCAATAAAAATATTAAAGACTAAAATGAAATAAATTTTATACTACTTTGGGACTTCTGGTGTAATTAACCCTAAAAAAATAAAAAAAAATTTGATAAACCTATAATTATATATATATATATATACAAATTAATTGTCCTAATAGATCACCACAGTTCTATTCTATTTATGTATTGGACTAATGCTCGACCTTATGCACACAAGGGAGTAATTTTTAGTCGAAATACAAAAAAAGAAATAGTTCAAGTTAAATTTAAATAAGAATTCAATCTCAACACAGTCAACTAAGTCTAAAATGCAAATGCGTGTATAGCTCAACTTGGAACCTTAATATAAAAACGAGTCAATGAAAGTCGAACCCAAGCACATAATTTGAAAATTAAGTTGAGTTTGTGCTAGAGTCTAAGTTTTGGCTATCGTGTCCAAGGCTTTAACAAACAATTGGAATCGAACTTAAACATAGAAAAGTTCAACCGATTAACACCTAGCTATGACAAAGGCATTGTGTCCACAAAATGAATAAAGCTAAAAGATAAATTACGTTTTGACCCTCTCAACTACGACAATTGTTGTCACAATATCTCGTCAATTTTTCACACTATACACTCAATTAATGTTTGCTATAATTTGACAAAAAGTTGTTTCATTTTACCAAAATTATTTAATTTTGTTTTACTTTTTCAAAACGTTGATAATTTCTATCCAAAAAAATGGACATTTTGTGCTAGGGGGCAGTGTAAAATAATTAAATTAATCAAGGAAATAATGTGAAAAATTTAATAATTCACAAAAAGACAATGAAATTAAATTCGTAATTAAGGAGGTCAAAGTATAATTTGCTCTAAACTAAATAGCTAAACTACACCAATCAAAGTCTTATGTCCCAATTATAAAAAGACATTGACCTCGTCGTCTTCTTTTCGAAGTAAACCACTTAATTATAACAATTAGTGACAGGATGAATTACAATTTATACTTCAAAAAATTTAATAATTTTTATATTATACTTTGCATGTATTAAAAATATTATAATATATTTTCGTTAGTTTCTGTTACTTACTTCGTTAGCGTCAGTAAGGTGATTGAAAGAAAAAAGCAACAATATTTTTAATATGTTAAGTGTATAATGTGAAAATTTTAATTTTAAAAGATATAAAATATAAATTCTTAAATCGTTTAGGGCATAAAGCGTGATTCCCTCTTAACAATATCAATTACGATTTAGATGAATCACCCGCCACGCCGGTCATGTGTGAGGGTTTCCATGACATCTGTATAAACCAAAACCGCGTGACTTATCTTCGATGTGCACATTGCATTGCAAACCTCACTGGCATAGAGAAACTGCGAGATTTAGAGAGAAAAAACTATGGGGAATGCGTTCTGTGTGTTCTGTGGTTGCATCGGTCAGGCGAACGTCGGCGTGATAGAGAGGTGGGGACGGTTCGAGAAGATTGCTCAGCCAGGTTTTCACTTCTTCAACCCAATCGCCGGCGAATGTCTCGCCGGAATTCTCTCCACCAGGATTAGCTCTCTCGATGTCAAGATCGAGACCAAAACCAGGGCACGAACTCATTGCCTTCTCTGTTTTTTAATAACAATCTAAATTTGTCTTTGTAGATTTGTATGAACCCTACGATAATTCCTTCATTTTTCTTGGTTGGCCTAGAATCATTTCGATCATGCTTATCGTTAATTTCTCTCTTCCCAGCGGTTCGATCAAGAGTATTTAATTGTGATTATATTGAATTCTGTGCGAATCCGAGGCCGATCAACTTCCGCGATTTGATTGACACAGAAACACGTATTACCTTCGTACATTTCGGTGGCTAATAACCTATTAAATTCTGTATTGCCAATTGACGCTGGTAAACTTCCGTGTTGTGCTTGACAAACACATACACACATCATCTTTGTATGTTTAGGTGGATAACATATGAGTCTTACATGGATTTGTTTGATTGTATTGATATGGTTAAATGAATTTATGTTTGAGTTGTTGAGTATTTTAACTGGGTTATATTGATGGTGGTCAAAGTCTCATGTGTTGTGCGACCGAGTAATGTAATTGTGTTAAGGTAGACAAGAGACACAAAGAAGGCAGTTAGATTCTGAATACGAGATAAAATCTATCATCTCTACAAAAAGAACTTAGACTAACTACCTTCCAAAAAATATCATCTCTATGATGAACTTGAATTGAGAAGTCAAAATAGCAAATTTAAGGGAATTATATTTCAGTTGCATTAAAATAGTCAACAGCATTGTCAGAGAGGTTTCCAAATTCTGTCAAATGTCAAATTGTCTTAGCTGTGCCATTAGAACTATGAACAGTTTCATAGGCCATTATACAACAAAAAGGTGCCCCAATGCACATGACTCGCGCCACTGCAGGTTTAAGAAGAGTTAGATGTATATAGTCTAACCTCCACATGCGGAGAGGTTGTTTCCGTGACTTGAACCATGAAATTATTTTTTAAGTTAAAAAGTTGGACATTATGGTAAAACATCCTGGTCATTTTCAAGCTGATCCTTCCATAATAGAGCATCCATCAAACATCTTGTGTGAGTAGAGCTGATTAATGAAGGGTATAAAATTATGACAATATGGTGGTATGAAGTGTCAAAGAGGAGTGTTGAATTTCTTGCAGAACCAAGGGTCTTGTTATTGTTACGTGACTTCAACCTGCTCTAGCTAGTATAACATTCATATCCTTATGCAGCCATGTGTTTATTGAGTGTTTGCAGTTGACTTGGAGAGATTGACTCATTGGCTGGTCATTGCTTGGTGGATGTCCCAAGAAAGCTAGGGTATGCCTGTTGCTGTTGAACAAACAAAATATCCAACTTCCTCATTCTTTTTGGCCTTTTTTTTTTTTTTTTTAATTGGGGGTGGGAGTTTTTATTTTTTGTGTTGGGGAGGTGGGGGGTTGGTGGTTAAGTCTACTATGGAAAAATCCATATCTTCTAATTAGTCAAGTAAAATGCCTGAACTTGTGATATTTTTTTCTTCTTTCTCATGTCTTCCTAGCACCTTCAAAGTAGCAAGGCTTTTGTCATTATTCCTAGGAAGATATATATTTACGAGTTCAAACCTCAGTGGCAGTAAGTTCGCAATCTGCAGTCACATGCGCATAACTTATGTCATAAGCAACTTTTCATAGGCTTGGCAACTCCACTTAGTTTTCAACTGTTGGGTCGTTAATGCTTCAGATAGAAAAGGAAGCCATGGAGTTGTCGTTGCAGTAGTTGTACCTGTTAACCTGTAGATTATGTTATGGCATATGTGGCTAGAAGCATTTATATTTTTGAGATGTGGCATTTTGTTTCTTGTGATTAATGATCATCGATTCTGCAGGATAATGTCTTTGTTCAAATGCTTTGCTCCATTCAATATCGTGTAGTTAAGGAAAATGCTGATGATGCATTTTATGAGTTGCAGAACCCAAAGGAGCAGATTCAGGCTTATGTCTTTGATGGTAATTTTTATTCTCAGGGCTTGTATACAATTTTACTTTTTTTTTTAAATATATATATTTTGCTCTCTAATGATTCATCTTATGTGTATTCTTAGTGGTTCGAGCTCANTAGACTAACTACCTTCCAAAAAATATCATCTCTATGATGAACTTGAATTGAGAAGTCAAAATAGCAAATTTAAGGGAATTATATTTCAGTTGCATTAAAATAGTCAACAGCATTGTCAGAGAGGTTTCCAAATTCTGTCAAATGTCAAATTGTCTTAGCTGTGCCATTAGAACTATGAACAGTTTCATAGGCCATTATACAACAAAAAGGTGCCCCAATGCACATGACTCGCGCCACTGCAGGTTTAAGAAGAGTTAGGTTTAAGAAGAGTTAGATGTATATAGTCTAACCCCCACATGCGGAGAGGTTGTTTCCGCGACTTGAACCATGAAATTATTTTTTAAGTTAAAAAGTTGGACATTATGGTAAAACATCCTGGTCATTTTCAAGCTGATCCTTCCATAATAGAGCATCCATCAAACATCTTGTGTGAGTAGAGCTGATTAATGAAGGGTATAAAATTATGACAATATGGTGGTATGAAGTGTCAAAGAGGAGTGTTGAATTTCTTGCAGAACCAAGGGTCTTGTTATTGTTACGTGACTTCAACCTGCTCTAGCTAGTATAACATTCATATCCTTATGCAGCCATGTGTTTATTGAGTGTTTGCAGTTGACTTGGAGAGATTGACTCATTGGCTGGTCATTGCTTGGTGGATGTCCCAAGAAAGCTAGGGTATGCCTGTTGCTGTTGAACAAACAAAATATCCAACTTCCTCATTCTTTTTGGCCTTTTTTTTTTTTTTTTTAATTGGGGGTGGGAGTTTTTATTTTTTGTGTTGGGGAGGTGGGGGGTTGGTGGTTAAGTCTACTATGGAAAAATCCATATCTTCTAATTAGTCAAGTAAAATGCCTGAACTTGTGATATTTTTTTCTTCTTTCTCATGTCTTCCTAGCACCTTCAAAGTAGCAAGGCTTTTGTCATTATTCCTAGGAAGATATATATTTACGAGTTCAAACCTCAGTGGCAGTAAGTTCGCAATCTGCAGTCACATGCGCATAACTTATGTCATAAGCAACTTTTCATAGGCTTGGCAACTCCACTTAGTTTTCAACTGTTGGGTCGTTAATGCTTCAGATAGAAAAGGAAGCCATGGAGTTGTCGTTGCAGTAGTTGTACCTGTTAACCTGTAGATTATGTTATGGCATATGTGGCTAGAAGCATTTATATTTTTGAGATGTGGCATTTTGTTTCTTGTGATTAATGATCATCGATTCTGCAGGATAATGTCTTTGTTCAAATGCTTTGCTCCATTCAATATCGTGTAGTTAAGGAAAATGCTGATGATGCATTTTATGAGTTGCAGAACCCAAAGGAGCAGATTCAGGCTTATGTCTTTGATGGTAATTTTTATTCTCAGGGCTTGTATACAATTTTACTTTTTTTTTTAAATATATATATTTTGCTCTCTAATGATTCATCTTATGTGTATTCTTAGTGGTTCGAGCTCATGTTCCAAAAATGACTTTGGATGAGCTTTTTGAGCAGAAGGGTGATGTTGCTAAAGCTGTACTGGAGGAACTTGAGAAGGTAAGTTGATGTTATTATCAGATGCCATAAATTGTTCCAACATTGCTCTTTTTTCCAGGGAAAGGCTAGATTAAATTGCCTTTTTTTGTTTTTATACAATTTCCTGTAATGTTGAGTTTGATATTCTTGCATACTGTCTCTTTCTTTATAAATTGGATGGCTGTACAGTTAGCTCTTCACTTTCTCTCTTTATATAATGGGTCTGCATTGCAAATATATAATGGGTCTGCATTGCAAAGTAAATTTGTTCCACGATTGGACTTGCTTAAGGTGGTTGCATTTTATGATACTCTACTAGGTTAGGCTTTTAATCTATTTTGTGATTGTTAATTCTTCCTGAACAAATTTATTTTATTTTCTTCATGCTGAAACATTTTCTTGGAATCATGCCTTTGCATTGCTGAGCTCAATATTGTGCATTTGAAGGCTATATTGAATGTGGATCATTACTTGATTACATGGATCAGGTTATGGGAGCATATGGATACAACATAGAGCACATATTGATGGTTGACATCATACCTGATTCTTCTGTGCGCAAAGCAATGAATGAGATAAATGCAGGTATGGAACTTTAATGTTTTGCTTGCTGTCATTACCGTACATTCTCTCATAATCACACTTTTATGTTCCTAACAAGGATAACTGTGCAATTTGGAACATAAGCTAACAGGCTAGGAATGAGACAACATTTTTTTCTTGACAAGTGATTAACTAGCATGGAAGCTTAACATTGATAATTACTCTTCAGATTGGACTACATGACATTTTTTTTATAGAAAGGATTACTTATATGCCTTTGTGACTTAAGGGATTCATCAAGCAATCACGTATCATAATTGACCTGGCTGAATCGTGAATGTTCCTATTTATTTTTTTTGGTTTTTATGAATTTCACAATGTGTTTTTGTTAGGGTAGAAAATGAAAGATACCCATAAAATCATTAATCTTTGGAGAATCTACGGTTTAGTTCATCAAAATTTAAGCAGCATGTATCTTGCATCTACAGGGTATTTTTGTCATTTTTTGGACTTAATAGTAGTGCCAGAACTAGAGTTAGTAGGTGCTATCCAGGATATCTATGGCCCATTTCATTCTGTCATTGATCACTGCCGGGTTGGCTGGTGAGTCACCCTTGATTTATTTTATCAAGTCATTCATATATCTCGTTCTTTTTATGTGGCAGTACTCTCGTACTATTTTCAAACTATACCTTGCCTAGGTTGATTTGCAGAATGAAACTCGCTGCTCTTTTTCCACCTAAGAATTCAATTTTTTTTTTTTTTTGCTAAACTTTTCCTTGGTGTTAATTTTATTTTACATTAAATCTGATTAATTCCTGAGGAATCTTAAAGTTCTATTTGACTCCACTTCGGCAGTAAGAAGTGACTTGACCATCTGGTGTTTGCTCCTATCATCTAACAATACCCTGTTAAACTATATTTACAGCTCAAAGGCTTCAGCTTGCTAGTGTATACAAAGGGGAAGCAGAGAAGGTGCTGCAAGTTAAAAAGGCAGAAGCTGAAGCTGAGGCCAAGTACCTAGGTGGCGTTGGCGTTGCCAGGCAGAGGCAGGCAATAACAGATGGCTTGCGAGAGAACATCTTGAACTTCTCTCACAAGGTGGAGGGCGCCTCAGCCAAGGAGGTGATGGATCTCATCATGATCACCCAGTACTTCGACACAATCAAAGACCTCGGGAACTCATCAAAGAACACTACCGTTTTCCTACCCCATGGTCCAGGTCATGTTCGTGATATCAGTGATCAGATACGCAATGGGTTGATGGAGGCATCCAGTGCTCAGGTCAATGTTGAATGATTCTGCTGATTTTGTCGATACCTTTTGAAACTAACTCCCTCTTTACAGTTTTTCTGTGCAAATGTCTTTGAGTTTTGGTTTGGAAATGAATTTAAGAAAGGAACGGCTTTCACTTTGGTATGGAAGGAGGTATGGTACGATAAGTTTATTACCTTTTTTGGTTCAAAAAACAACTTTTTAGGGTCGATAACATTTAGGTTCGATTGTAAAAAATTCAGGGTTAGGTTACATTCTTTTGTGATTAAGTTACAATTTTTTTTTAGTGTTTGGGATTCATTTTACAAATTTAGGATCGATTTTAACCCTAAAATACTTCAAAAAAATTGTAACTAATTTCATAGAAATTATATTTCATGGTATGACATCGTGACAAGAACTAATTGTTTGGTACAACTGATTTCTGGTGAGTTTTTGCTGNAGGGTTAGGTTACATTCTTTTGTGATTAAGTTACAATTTTTTTTATAGTGTTTGGGATTCATTTTACAAATTTAGGATCGATTTTAACCCTAAAATACTTCAAAAAAATTGTAATTAATTTCATAGAAGTTATATTTCGTGGTATGACATCGTGACAAGAACTAATTGTTTGGTACAACTGATTTCTGGTGAGTTTTTGCTGCATCAGTTGGAACATTACTAGTCCCGTGACTAGGTTGTCACGGAGCCTGTTGTTTCAGCTCGGATTTATCTGTTATATAGACCAGATTGTCTTTTTTGGAGAGGCCCGACTCTTCATCTACTGTATAAGAAGAAGGTTAGATATTGCCAGTTGTATAGTTAATCGACCAGAATTTGTCAAGTTTGAATATATGCAAGGGTCGCTCTGAGATTGATTGGTCGAATTGAGATCAAGTACCAAGTTAAAATTTTTTCTCAAGCTCGGATATGGGCTTTAAAATTGAATNCTCAAGTACCAAGTTAAAAAATTTTCTCAAGCTCGGATATGGGCTTTAAAATTGAATTTAACTCAAAATCGAGTTCAANATCAAGTACCAAGTTAAAATTTTTTCTCAAGCTCGGATATGGGCTTTAAAATTGAATTTAACTCAAAATCGAGTTCAATATTTTTGCAAATTAAATTGTAGAACTTATTATATTAATCAATGTTAAAATAATTAAATCAACACATAAATCAAATGACATAAGTAAATTTTTTAAGAGAGACAGAGAGAGCGAAATGGNAATATTTTTGCAAATTAAATTGTAGAACTTATTATATTAATCAATGTTAAAATAATTAAATCAACACATAAATCAAATGACATAAGTAAATTTTTTAAGAGAGACAGAGAGAGCGAAATGGGTATGATTGAAAGATATTTGAAAAACTTTAAGGTAGTTTAATTGATAATATGAACGAATCGTAAACTCAAACGTTTTGAACTTGAATTTTGACAATTATTTATACTCTATTTGGTAGGTATGATGAAAAATAGGAGAAATACACTTTTTATTCTCCAAAGAAAGAAAGTAGAAATGATACATTTTTCTTCTTTTATGNCTCCACTTAGTTTTCAACTGTTGGGTCGTTAATGCTTCAGATAGAAAAGGAAGCCATGGAGTTGTCGTTGCAGTAGTTGTACCTGTTAACCTGTAGATTATGTTATGGCATATGTGGCTAGAAGCATTTATATTTTTGAGATGTGGCATTTTGTTTCTTGTGATTAATGATCATCGATTCTGCAGGATAATGTCTTTGTTCAAATGCTTTGCTCCATTCAATATCGTGTAGTTAAGGAAAATGCTGATGATGCATTTTATGAGTTGCAGAACCCAAAGGAGCAGATTCAGGCTTATGTCTTTGATGGTAATTTTTATTCTCAGGGCTTGTATACAATTTTACTTTTTTTTTTAAATATATATATTTTGCTCTCTAATGATTCATCTTATGTGTATTCTTAGTGGTTCGAGCTCATGTTCCAAAAATGACTTTGGATGAGCTTTTTGAGCAGAAGGGTGATGTTGCTAAAGCTGTACTGGAGGAACTTGAGAAGGTAAGTTGATGTTATTATCAGATGCCATAAATTGTTCCAACATTGCTCTTTTTTCCAGGGAAAGGCTAGATTAAATTGCCTTTTTTTGTTTTTATACAATTTCCTGTAATGTTGAGTTTGATATTCTTGCATACTGTCTCTTTCTTTATAAATTGGATGGCTGTACAGTTAGCTCTTCACTTTCTCTCTTTATATAATGGGTCTGCATTGCAAATATATAATGGGTCTGCATTGCAAAGTAAATTTGTTCCACGATTGGACTTGCTTAAGGTGGTTGCATTTTATGATACTCTACTAGGTTAGGCTTTTAATCTATTTTGTGATTGTTAATTCTTCCTGAACAAATTTATTTTATTTTCTTCATGCTGAAACATTTTCTTGGAATCATGCCTTTGCATTGCTGAGCTCAATATTGTGCATTTGAAGGCTATATTGAATGTGGATCATTACTTGATTACATGGATCAGGTTATGGGAGCATATGGATACAACATAGAGCACATATTGATGGTTGACATCATACCTGATTCTTCTGTGCGCAAAGCAATGAATGAGATAAATGCAGGTATGGAACTTTAATGTTTTGCTTGCTGTCATTACCGTACATTCTCTCATAATCACACTTTTATGTTCCTAATAAGGATAACTGTGCAATTTGGAACATAAGCTAACAGGCTANTTTGCTTGCTGTCATTACCGTACATTCTCTCATAATCACACTTTTATGTTCCTAATAAGGATAACTGTGCAATTTGGAACATAAGCTAACAGGCTAGGAATGAGACAACATTTTTTTCTTGACAAGTGATTAACTGGCATGGAAGCTTAACATTGATAATTACTCTTCAGATTGGACTACATGACATTTTTTTTATAGAAAGGATTACTTATATGCCTTTGTGACTTAAGGGATTCATCAAGCAATCACGTATCAAAATTGACCTGGCTGAATCGTGAATGTTCCTATTTATTTTTTTTGGTTTTTATGAATTTCACAATGTGTTTTTGTTAGGGTAGAAAATGAAAGATACCCATAAAATCATTAATCTTTGGAGAATCTACGGTTTAGTTCATCAAAATTTAAGCAGCATGTATCTTGCATCTACAGGGTATTTTTGTCATTTTTTGGACTTAATAGTAGTGCCAGAACTAGAGTTAGTAGGTGCTATCCAGGATATCTATGGCCCATTTCATTCTGTCATTGATCACTGCCGGGTTGGCTGGTGAGTCACCCTTGATTTATTTTATCAAGTTATTCATATATCTCGTTCTTTTTATGTGGCAGTACTCTCGTACTATTTTCAAACTATACCTTGCCTAGGTTGATTTGCAGAATGAAACTCGCTGCTCTTTTTCCACCTAAGAATTCAATTTTTTTTTTTTTTTGCTAAACTTTTCCTTGGTGTTAATTTTATTTTACATTAAATCTGATTAATTCCTGAGGAATCTTAAAGTTCTATTTGACTCCACTTCGGCAGTAAGAAGTGACTTGACCATCTGGTGTTTGCTCCTATCATCTAACAATACCCTGTTAAACTATATTTACAGCTCAAAGGCTTCAGCTTGCTAGTGTATACAAAGGGGAAGCAGAGAAGGTGCTGCAAGTTAAAAAGGCAGAAGCTGAAGCTGAGGCCAAGTACCTAGGTGGCGTTGGCGTTGCCAGGCAGAGGCAGGCAATAACAGATGGCTTGCGAGAGAACATCTTGAACTTCTCTCACAAGGTGGAGGGCGCCTCAGCCAAGGAGGTGATGGATCTCATCATGATCACCCAGTACTTCGACACAATCAAAGACCTCGGGAACTCATCAAAGAACACTACCGTTTTCCTACCCCATGGTCCAGGTCATGTTCGTGATATCAGTGATCAGATACGCAATGGGTTGATGGAGGCATCCAGTGCTCAGGTCAATGTTGAATGATTCTGCTGATTTTGTCGATACCTTTTGAAACTAACTCCCTCTTTACAGTTTTTCTGTGCAAATGTCTTTGAGTTTTGGTTTGGAAATGAATTTAAGAAAGGAACGGCTTTCACTTTGGTATGGAAGGAGGTATGGTACGATAAGTTTATTACCTTTTTTGGTTCAAAAAACAACTTTTTAGGGTCGATAACATTTAGGTTCGATTGTAAAAAATTCAGGGTTAGGTTACATTCTTTTGTGATTAAGTTACAATTTTTTTTATAGTGTTTGGGATTCATTTTACAAATTTAGGATCGATTTTAACCCTAAAATACTTCAAAAAAATTGTAATTAATTTCATAGAAGTTATATTTCGTGGTATGACATCGTGACAAGAACTAATTGTTTGGTACAACTGATTTCTGGTGAGTTTTTGCTGCATCAGTTGGAACATTACTAGTCCCGTGACTAGGTTGTCACGGAGCCTGTTGTTTCAGCTCGGATTTATCTGCTATGTAGACCAGATTGTCTTTTTTGGAGAGGCCCGACTCTTCATCTACTGTATAAGAAGAAGGTTAGATATTGCCAGTTGTATAGTTAATCGACCAGAATTTGTCAAGTTTGAATATATGCAAGGGTCGCTCTGAGATTGATTGGTCGAATTGAGATCAAGTACCAAGTTAAAATTTTTTCTCAAGCTCGGATATGGGCTTTAAAATTGAATTTAACTCAAAATCGAGTTCAATATTTTTGCAAATTAAATTGTAGAACTTATTATATTAATCAATGTTAAAATAATTAAATCAACACATAAATCAAATGACATAAGTAAATTTTTTAAGAGAGACAGAGAGAGCGAAATGGGTATGATTGAAAGATATTTGAAAAACTTTAAGGTAGTTTAATTGATAATATGAACGAATCGTAAACTCAAACGTTTTGAACTTGAATTTTGACAATTATTTATACTCTATTTGGTAGGTATGATGAAAAATAGGAGAAATACACTTTTTATTCTCCAAAGAAAGAAAGTAGAAATGATACATTTTTCTTCTTTTATGTTTGGTAGGATGGATGAAAAATAAAAATGATTAATTTTTTTTTGTTGCTTTGTAAGATGGGAAAAAATATTTTTTTTATTTTTAAAAAAAATATAAATACATATTTTATCATTTTATTTATATATGAAATTAATGTATATATCAAAAGATATATATATAAATAAGATAAATTTTAATACAAATAATTAACTTTTTATACTATTTCCTTTCTCACCAAACATGATATTTTATCTATCCCTCTAATTTTCCGTCTTTTTATTTTTCATCATACCAAACGAAACATTAGGACCAGGCTATAAGAAATTTTTCCCTTATAAATATTTTAGTCCTAATATAGATGATCTGATTTTGACCGGACTTGAGAAAAGATTAATTGAAATGCTTATAGACTAGTCCGAACATCTCTAACCATTAAAATAAAAAAGACATTTGGGAAACTGAGCCACACATTTTCAAAAAGATTTAAATTAATTAAAGTGACATTATAATTTGAATGGAGTAAAGTCAAACTTAGATAGAATATAAAAAGTGCTTCGACCGTTCACCTACCTTCCCTTCCTCTCGATTTAATTACACTTTCTCCCCCAAAAGAAAAGGAAAGCATCATCATTAGTCCCTTTTATTTGGAAGTGACCCCCCCACTGTACCAGAAGGAGCAATGAACACTTAAACTCACATCATTCCAAATTACTGTGGTCCCTACACAACTTGTCACCAATAGGAGAAACTCTCTGATTTGAATACAACGTAATAATATGTTTAGGTGTGTCCATTTTTGCAGTACAATTTATAATTATAAAATCAGAAGAATATAAGAAATAATAATTTGGCTTGGGGAGAGTAATGATGATAATTATAAGGCGAGGGAGGGATTTTGATGGAAAGAATGATTCATTCCTTTGGTTTTTTTAAAAAAAATATTCATATTAAATTAAGAAAAAAAAAATTAGGGTAAACCACATAAATGACCTTTGAATTTTAGTTTTTGTTTTAAATTGCTCTCTCAACTTTTAATTTTTTTAATTTACCCCTGAATTATTTAAATCATTTTAATCAACACCTTCCGTTAGATACGTTAAATGGGAATGAAACCTTAACGTGAACTGCAGATAAAAGTTGATGGAGGGTATTTTTGTCCCTACTTAACGCCTAAATCTAACAAAAAATGCTAATTAAAATGAATTAAATAATGTAAATGATAAATTAAAAAAAAATAAAAATTAAGGGAATAATTGAAAACAAAGAATAAAGTTCAGAGGTTGGTTTACCCAAAAACCTACCTCTTATTTCAATGTTTTTGATTAGAAAGCACCACAAGTAATAGAAGAGGTTGGAATATAGCAAACCTATTATTACAAAAGGGGGCAAAAATCACAAAAATACAATATATATAATTTTTTGGGAGGCTCAATGGTTAAAGATATTTGGGTTCGCTTATATGTATCTTGACTAATCTCCTCTCTAGTCCGATCAAAGACAGGTCATCCACGTTAAGATTAAGATATTCATAAAGAATAAATTTCTCATGACCTGACTCCAAAGAATTGTCAAGATTCAAACTCATGACGTCTAAATTTTCAGTTCATCTTTGTTTCTACTTAAGCTACCCTTAAGAGGATACTTGAAAGTAGAAAGGGCATGTGGGGGTAATCATCCCCAAATTTTAAAAATTTTCTCAAAATCATAATTAATAATATTATTTGAATTTAATTTATTAATATAATTTGTTGACCTGATCACAATTATTGGATTGGTTGTGGGTCCTAACAAATATTTGGACCCGGACCCACCGATAATCCAATGAGTATGAATGATTACTTTATTTTTACTTTTTTTTGAAAGGAGGATTTGAACCTTTGATATCAAGAAGACAAAGTCTCTACGAGACAAAGAGTATCATTGAACCAAAAACTCATTGGTGAGTATGAATAATTAAGTCAACAAATTAAATCAATAAATTATGTTCAAATAACATTACTCAATCATATTTGCATTCATATGTATTTTTATGAATTTGTACCAAGAACTTGTCAAAAAGTAAGGCAACAACAATACAATAAATAAACCCTAATGCTCCGTTTGGTAGAAAAGATGAAAAGTATAAGAGATACATTTTTTATCTTCTAAGGAATGAGAGTAGGAATGATACATTTTCCTTACTTTGTATTTGGTTGGATGGATGAAAAATAAAAATGATTATACATTTTTTTTTTGCTTGGTAAGATGAAAAAAAAATATTTTTAAAATTTTTTAATTTTTTAAGATTTTATTTTAATTTTTTTAAAAAATATATAAATACATATTTTATCATTGTATTTATATATGAATTTAATATGTGTGTGTATATATATATATATCAAAAGGATATATAGACAAATAAGATACATTTCAACACAAATTATTAATTTTTCATCTACTTTTCTTCCAATTTTGAAAGGATTGATTTTGGTGAATTGGAAAGAAAGTTCATCTTTCCACTTTTCCATCTATCGTATTTTACTTCTTTATCAAACATGATGGTTTATCTATCCCTTTAACTTTTTATCCCTTTAACTTTTTATCCTTTTAACTTTTCATCATTGTATTTTTTCATCGTATCAAACAGAGCATAAGGATAGTCAACGGGAGACAATGACGAGATGTAAACGTAAACATTCTAATTCTGAGTTCAAAATTTGAAAACTCCTTTAAAATTAAACTATGAACAATTTATTTCTCATGNCTTTAACTTTTTATCCTTTTAACTTTTCATCATTGTATTTTTTCATCGTATCAAACAGAGCATAAAGATAGTCAACGGGAGACAATGACGAGATGTAAACGTAAACATTCTAATTCTGAGTTCAAAATTTGAAAACTCCTTTAAAATTAAACTATGAACAATTTATTTCTCATGAATTTTTTAGACTCAGCGTAGATAATTTATCTTTAATTAAACCAGAAAGAAAATTAATCAAAATAAACATAAATCGACCCAANCTCTTATGAATTTTTTAGACTCAGCGTAGATAATTTATCTTTAATTAAACCAGAAAGAAAATTAATCAAAATAAACATAAATCGACCCAAACACCCTAACCACGATAAAAAATAAAAAAAAAAAAAGAAAGAAGAAGATGAAGCAATAAATAGAGAATGTGATATGTATCACANTTCTCATGAATTTTTTAGACTCAGCGTAGATAATTTATCTTTAATTAAACCAGAAATAAAATTAATCAAAATAAACATAAATCGACCCAAACACCCTAACCACGATAAAAAATAAAAAAATAAAAAATAAAAAAAAAAGAAAGAAGAAGATGAAGCAATAAATAGAGAATGTGATATGTATCACAAGGGATGAAAAAATACCAATCAATTTCAGTTGTATGAGAAATCAGTGGGAAATAAAGAGACGAAAAAAAGAAGAAGGGTAATTATGAAAGAGGATTGAAAGGATTAAGATTCTCGCAGAAAGAGGGTGTACTAATCATTATATCTCCTTACCCTTTAACAGTCAAAAACATGAGTGGGGTGAGCAATAAAGTCATACCCCATACCCATACGAGAGAAAAGCTTTCTTCCCCTAGTTGGTGAGCAGTCAGTATTANCCCCTTTAACAGTCAAAAACATGAGTGGGGTGAGCAATAAAGTCATACCCATACCCATACGAGAGAAAAGCTTTCTTCCCCTAGTTGGTGAGCAGTCAGTATTAGTCAGCCTTGCCGACAGGATCATCTGTCTATCCACAAAAATCAGTACCCATGGACAAAAAAATCAATGGTAAATTAACTAAATTACATTCATCGCACCGTAGAATCGAGTCATAATCAAACTAAATCAAGTTATATCTCACAATCATTTGAGATCGACTATCTATCTAAATACAATTTCGCCATTACTTAGACTCATCATACTAGATTCGATAAGATTTTACATTAATTGCCGATCGATTACCTAACTCAACCTTCTTCTATTATCTCAATTAAGGATGAATTGTGTTGACAACACTGACAAAATTTGTAGATATCGAGTCATGTCTTATCATATTTAAATCATGTCATTTTGAATTTGTGTCGAACACTAATCCATCCTAAACATTTATACCAAAAAACATAGTCGCGGGACCCTCTCTCTCTCCTCCCTACTTAACTTACAACTCATAGCCACTCGTGGGTTTTTCACAAACTAAAAATATTAATACATTCAATCCAAATGCTAACAATAATAGGTATAAGAATCCATACTACACCAAATAAATAAGAGAAAATAAGATGTTTTCGTAGAAAACAAGTCCAGCAAATTTAATATTTCAAAATTGGGTTATTCATGTTTAACACATATTCTTCATTCGTGTCAGGAAGTAGAAGTCGTGTTATTTTTAGATGTGTGTCAAAAATTAATCAATTATAATTTTCTAATTTTGTGTGGGGGTTCTATTGAATTAACTTGTTAATACTTGTCTTGTTAAAAATGGTAGAGAGAGAGAGAGAGAGAGAGAGAGAGTGGGTGTCCAAAATTGAAACTGCTTGTGTCCATGAAAAGAAAAATGATAGGTACTGTGCCCAGGAAAATCTACTGGAATTACCATCCAAGGGAGTACAATAAAGGGTGATTGAATACCAAAACGAGAAACATTGCTTTGCAGCTATAATTGGTGGTTGAAAAGTTATCAATTTATAGACCCCTATGCAATGTTGCATTATGTCCTCTGTGTATTCCATCTCTCTCTTGCCTTTTTCAACCATTCTCTGTACCATTCATCTTTTCCCTTTATTATTCATTCCATGGAAAGTAGATTAGCAAGGTTACCTGCCAGGCACTACAATGACTGAATTATTTTTCCACAGGTCTGTTCATGAAGAAGATTTCAGAATCATTCCTCACAAGCTCCCAATTCTACCCATAAATCCATTGCTAGTGTACACCTTCATGTTCAAGGTAGGGTTCAATACTTAACATGACACGTCCGCCCGCCCCACACAAAATTGTCGAATAAAAGTTTGACCTAAACATGCCTGAGACAAAATTGTCAAGTATAAGTTTAACCTAAATGAGTTCGGGTCATATATGGGTTGAATCAATAGACTTGTATTATAAATACGTCAATATGAACTCGACTTTACACAATTTCAAATGGATTAGCTACGATTGAATAAACTTTAACATAACACAATTTAGACAAGGAATGAACAAACTCGACATGGCCCGATCCATTGCAAAGTCTAGGGTGTTCTATTCTTCTACATAGCCAATCCTAAGCCATAAGAGAAGGATGGCCAAGTACAAACCAATGACTTATTAAGATTTCCAATCTTAAGCCTAAAGAAAAGGGTACAATCTTTTCAAAAATGAGTTATGCTATGCATCATCGTGTGTGTATGGGTGAACGTATGCATCATCCGTATTTTTTTGGAACAGTGCCTCCAAAGGCTTATCAATAGTAGTGTTTACTACTGTAGCCTTTGGGTGATGCTCCGTACATCGCTAGCCCGGGGTTAAAAAAAAAAAACCAGTAGAACCACCAACCTGCTGAATTATATAGTCAATGATAATTAAAATCAGTTCAAGTTTGTTGCCAAATCACTCCGTAATGCCGACAGCCTCCCTTGCTTCCAGTTTGCTCAAAAATCTTTCGACAATCATGGGGAGCCTAACTGAGGATGATTCAGAACTCCATGTTTTCAACGTCTGGGTGAAAAATTTGACAGAGGGCCCATCCTGATAGAAAGAATGAATTAGAATGTTTAAAAGACAAGTCACAAAAGATGACAGAATTAAAGCTTAGTAAAAACTAATAAACAACTAACCAGAGAGAGAGAGAGGGTCCCTTGGGGAAGAAGGCCCCTTAATCTTACTTTTAATTGACCATGACAACTAAAGCACTGAGATGGACAGCCACTCTTCATGGTGGGGCTATATTATCTCTTAGACAGAAACTCAAGGAGATATCGGTGAGATTAAACAGTCTTCTTGAGCTACAGAGATCTGTGTCTTGGGTTGTTCCGAGGTTGACCCATGTAATGACGGACTCCGGTTCGTCATCCACCCAATGAACTCAAGAAAACCATACTATTGAGAAAAGATACTTTTAAGCNGAGGAGATATCGATGAGATTAAACAGTCTTCTTGAGCTACAGAGATCTGTGTCTTGGGTTGTTCCGAGGTTGACCCATGTAATGACGGACTCCGGTTTGTCATCCACCCAATGAACTCAAGAAAACCATACTATTAAGAAAAGATACTTTTAAGCATTCAAGAGCGGACTCTGGTTTGTCATCCACCCAATGAACTCAAGAAAACCATACTATTGAGAAAAGATACTTTTAAGCATTCAAGAGGTGTGTCAATTTTATGTAATTTTCAGCAACATCGCTTTCCAACCACACTCACTAAGTATGGCATCTAATCATAATTGTCATAGAAGCCACTCCAGTAGAAACATATCTATGGGACCATCAAACAAGCAGAGAACATAATTTTCAAAGAATTTTTTAACAAAAAAGGAAAAAAAAAATAACCAAGGAATCTTTAAATATTGTTAAGTAACTAAAACTAATCTCTGAATGTCCAACTTTACAAAGAGCTAATCACATGGAGCCACTCTCTATTTTTGATATTTGGATGGATGTTATGTAAACTGTGAGTTCATGCAACTGATGATTTTCATGTGGAATATCCAATTATTTATCGAAGCTCATGCCCCATTTATCATAATTGGAAAAATAAACCACTACATCTCATGAACGATGAAAACTAGATAGAATCTCAACTAAGCAGGATAAGAAAGGTCGTCCACCAAAAGGAATGGATATGGTGAGCACTTCAAGCAACACTGAAAGACCATTATTCCTTAGTCAATAAAAAGAAATAGAAATTGATATATGCAAAAGAACCAGAAAGATTTATTATGCTCATCAATAAATAATCTGTTGTTCAAGGTTCAAGGGATATTTTGCTTTCAGCTTATAATGGTGAAGGCAAAACTAACAATCTTTTAAAATCGACTTTCTAAAGACATTCAAGAGAATATTTGTAGTTTCTCATCTGCAATTATCCCATCATCTGATCAAAACCCAAGTGTTTAAAATTGCAAACATAATGCATACGTACAAAGTCATTGGCTCAATAGCATGATACTGATATGAAAAAATCAAACCACCTATTCTGGCAAAAAAAAAGCAATTTTGATACTTTTATAGCAAATTATATCATCCCACTTTCTTTCTGAAAAATCCGGACTTATATAATAAGGTCTCTCTTGCTATNAGCAATTTTGATACTTTTATAGCAAATTATATGAATAACATCGCTTGATGGTGATGATGTTCATCCCACTTTCTTTCTGAAAAATCCGGACTTATATAATAAGGTCTCTCTTGCTATACGTTTCTCTCTCAGACATACACACATACGCATGTTGGACACATTAACAAGTATGCCTCTTTGACACAACTAACAATCTTGTGCAACTGGTATTCCGATAGACAAAAATCACCATTATCAGTGTTTTTAGTTGTGTAGCTAGGGGTAGAAATAAAAATTGATCATCAATACAAGAAGTATAAGTAGTCTAATTTTCATGGAAGAACCCGTATAATAAAGAACAAATCACAAGACAATATTCAGGAGGGGTATCAAAAAAGCTACTGATGAAGNAGTAGTCTAATTTTCATGGAAGAACCCATATAATAAAGAACAAATCACAAGACAATATTCAGGAGGGGTATCAAAAAAGCTACTGATGAAGCACTTTGCAAGTAGCTAAAGTACTTCCATTCATCCAAAAGAAACATATATATTGAGCAAATTGTTTCCACATCTCAACAATAAACAATCCCTGATCCCAGCTACTTGGAAAATGTTAGAGCCCAGTTTCTGAATATAATATAAACACTAGTTTTAAACAAAAAGTCAAGAATTATATTATATATCAAATTAATCTCAAATTCAAATAGTTACAACATTCCTGTTCTGTTCCTGGACAATTTTTATCATTGTAAACAAGAATGAAATCCCTCTCTACAAAACCCAAGGACCAGCAATGATGCCACCTAATGCTTCGTTCAGATCATGTAGCTATGCAATTTCTAGTAACACAATGATTGATGCCTTCTCCTGCCTTTCCAACCCTACCTCTTCAAAATCTTCTATATGGGGGGGTCAGAACTAGACACAGAACACAGAAATTGAAAGAATTTGATAGATTCTACAAATGGGGAAATCTAAACACGTTAAAAGGAAAAATATTACACTGAGGTTGAAGCTGCAAAGACTTCATTGAGCATGTCATCATCGCCACTAGCCATGGCAAACAGCTCTGTGTCTTTCTCTTCCTCACTAGAGAAATCTCGCCTCTCAAGCTTTTCATGAGCTGCAATGAATATCATCTTCTGAGCCCTATCCAGGCCAAAGCTTGAAGGCCCTTGCACACTGATCCATTTCATAAAGGACCAATTGCACTTGAATCCACAGGAGGTTGCATGAAGGAAGAGAAGCCTGATTGCAACCTTGCCCAGTGACTTAAACTCTTTTAGACAAGTTTCCCACACAAGTCTACTGCTCTGAGGGTTTGCAATTTTCATCTTTCCTGTCACAGGATCTTGCTGCTTTACTTGAACAGCTTGTGCATAAAGTGGGTCTAGTCCTTCTGACCTCCATTTCATGAGCTCCATCAATGCTATATGAGCTTCCTCCCTGGAAACCAACCGTGTTATCAGCGTGTCCACATCCTTCTCCTGATCATGCGTCAAACATTTAAAAGGTGGAAGGTACCTTCCGCTCGCATCCCTCATCAAATAAAGTGGATCGAGTATAAACGCAGCTGACCAAGCCGGGTGATAGTTTTTCTTAAATCGCCTTTCGACTATCCTCTCGACAGGCCTATCATCTATGCTGAATTTGGCACAACAGTCCTTCACTTTTGCCCTCAACTCCTCCCAAAGAGGAAGGCACTGCCCAACTAGTGGCCTCTCAGCCTCAATCTCTTCAGCAATCCCACTGATCAGCTTCACTAAAGAATTGACAGCCTCTACATCCTTCCAAAACCCCCCATCCTGAATCATCTCTGCAACTTCTCTACCAATGGGATCCTCTAAACATATGACTTTATAGGCATCATCAAGGACAACTAAGTGAAGAATTTGAGCACAGCCCAATATATCCTCCAACATTGCAATAACCGGAGAAAAGTTCCTTGAGTAATCACATCTGGGTGGAGGAACTCTAATCAAACCAGAAAGCTCAACCTCCTGCAACCTGAACTTGTGGAAACTATTCCTAATTTGAGGCTTACTATTACAAAAAGTTGCAATCTTGATACAATTATCTGTGACAGTCCTGAAAAGGGGGAGCTCTTTACTAAAATCCTTAATTAAACTAACAAAACCTTGAACCTGACAAGATAAATTAACCATCCACTGATTCTGAACTTCCAAATTCTTTAATGCCTTAGCTTTATACTTATTTGAAACTATCCCTACACATCTTTGGACAACATTACCACATATCCCCCTTGTCGTCTCCCACAAAATCTCCTCGGCATACTGTGATGGTGGGGAAACACCTGTAAAGACAGACTTTTGAAACACACTCGTCCCGTTAGGAAGATTTACCATAAACTTAATCAAATTCTCTTCTCCACACCCATAATTCTTGCTCTTCCAACCATCACACGCAACTTGAAAGAACACTGCATCCCTAATTCTAGCTTCTGACTCCATTTTTGCATCCTCAAATTTAGAATCAAGCCTTGCAGCCAAAAACTCCATTCTAGACACTCCAGGCAAGCCCACCTGGTTAAGAAAAGCTTTGAACTTGGGGTGTTCAAGACTAGAAAACGAAACTGACCCACAAGACTCGTAGAACCAGTCTGCTAATAAGTCGAAAGCTGACTCAACCTGATCCTTATTTAGACTAGGACCCGGTGAAGCTTTCGGACTTTTAAGCTTTTTCACACTATCTTCCAGCATTGCCAATGCACCCCAATCCTCCTTTCCACCGGATAACACCAATTGCTGTTGATTCGAACCCGTATTACTCGCCGGTGTTTGTGCAATTTGGACCGATGAATAGCCCATTTGGCCACAAAACCGCGAAGAATCGACCATTCCATGGATTTGGTGTGACCGTGAAGAAGTGCCTGTTTGCTGTGAACTTCTTTTCCGATGATTCTGCGACGACGGCGAAGCTAAAGGCGGTAATGGAGACGGTGAAGTGGGCGAAATGGGTTTCAAAGCAGAGCTAAAATTGGGGCAAGTCCCTCTCTTGAGGTGCTCCGAGGCTGTTCTTGACGGGTTGGAGGCCGAAAACGCAGCGTGACACAAAGTGCACTTGAGTTTCACGGCCTTTGGGAGGTTTGTTTCCAGGTTTCGAATCAGAATGGGCTCAAAGTGTGCCCAATACCAAGCACCTTTGCCTTTGTTAGCCTTTGTACGGACCGTGACTAGTCCTTCATATCGCTTGTTTACAGCTTTCACAGCAGCGTCTTCGGCATCACTTGGAGTTGAATTACTGCTAGCCATTGAAGAAAGAGATCGAGTTAGCAAACGGGTAGTGAAATTCTTCTTTGTATTGAGAAAAAGATCACTGCTATTTGGTCTTCGGTTGTTGATGATGTTGTTGAGTTTGTTCTTGTTGTGGGTCTGGTCTGGCTTGAAAGGTGTATCATTGTGGCGAGTGTGAAGAGTACCGGTGGGTTTTGAGACGTTGGTGTTTGCTTTTGTCCATTTAGCCGGGAAAAGTCGCCAGCAACGAAGTGGGTTTTTGTTGTTGCCAGAAGACCACGAAGGAAACCGGCGATGTAGCCGGGAAAGTGAGTAACTTCGGGTGAGACAATGAATGAGTCTGTGAACTGCTTGACGAATTGTTTAGCTGAAGGTGACGTTGAACAAAGAGACGAACGCAAAGAGAGAGGTGAGAAAATATTGGCACAAATACATGTAGAGAGAGAGAGACAGAGAGAGAGAGAAGGAAGGAAGGAAGGAGGGAGGGAGGAAAGGAGAGAGAAATGAAAGAATTACACTTTTTTCCTGAAAGTTTTAAGAATTCTTATTTTATATTCTTGAAGATTAATTTCTCATTGAAAAATGTTATAATCAAGCCTTTTTGTTAGCTTTTTTTCCCCTCATTTTGTCAATGTTAATGGAGTGATTTTTAATAATAAATAAAAAATTTAATTTTTAAAAGTATAAAATAAAAATTATTAAATTTTTTAAGATATAATTGTTGAGAAGATCACAAACTACAACGCGAACACAAAGTGTGTGTATATTAGTTTTTTTTTATTTTAAGAAAATATTATTTAGACTTAATCATTCAATATAATTATTAAATTAAAAATAAATTTTAATATGAAACTTACAACTAATTCAATAATAATATTAAATTAATTCCCCAATTAGATTTTTATAGTTATAGCTAGCATTGCCTTTTTTTTATTATTATAATTATTTATTTAATGAGTAATGTTGTTGGGATCTAATTTACTAACTTAATTTGTTGATCTAATTCATTATGACCTTTAAATTGACTGTAGGGTCCATCAAACATTAAAATTTGGTGTTGATCTAATGGTTCTCGTGAAGTCACATCATAATGTCAAAAAATTAGGTCAAATTTTTAGGTCTAAGTAGTAATACTATTATTTAATAATAATGCTAAATAAATTTAAAAATTAGATTTAATAATCTCAATCATTGAATAGGTAATGGGTCTCAATAAATACAGAAACTTACAGTAAAATTAATTATTATAATTATTAAATTTAATTTTTAAATTTAATTTTTAAATTCATGTAAGATTGCTCATTATTTAATTGGTGCTGATGAACATATAGATTTGTCAAACAAGAGCGAGTTTCTAAGTGGGGCCCAGGTTACGCTAATGTAAATTGACTCTAAAAATATAGTCAACACTAGGCTATTAAATATTAAATTTCTCATATGAGTGGATGAGTNTAAAAATGTTATAATCAAGCCTTTTTGTTAGCTTTTTTCCCCCTCATTTTGTCAATGTTAATGGAGTGATTTTTAATAATAAATAATAAATTTAATTTTTAAAAGTATAAAATAAAAATTATTAAATTTTTTAACATATAATTGTTGAGAAGATCACAAACTACAACGCGAACACAAAGTGTGTGTATATTAGTTTTTTTTTTATTTTAAGAAAATATTATTTAGACTTAATCATTCAATATAATTATTAAATTAAAAATAAAGTTTAATATAAAACTTACAACTAATTCAATAATAATGTTAAATTAAATCCCCAATTAGATCTTTATAGTTATAGCTAGCATTGCTTTTTTTATTATTATAATTATTTATTTAATGAGTAATATTGTTGGGATCTAATTTATTAACTTAATTTGATGATCTAATTCACTATGACCTTTAAATTGACTGTAGGGTCTATCAAACATTAAAACTTGGTGTTGATTTAATGGTTCTCGTGAAGCCACATTATTATGTCAAAAAATTAGGTCAAATTTTTAGGTCTAAATAATAATACTATTATTTAATAGTAATGCTAAATGGATTTAAAAATTAGATTTAAAAATTAAACTTAATAATTTCAATTATTGAATAGGTAATGGGTTCTAATAAATACTGAGAGTTACAGTAAAATCAATTATTGTAATTATCAAATCTAATTTTTAAATTTAATTTTTAAATTCACATAGAATTGCTCATTATTTAATTGGTGCCGATGAACATATAGATTTGTCAAACATGAGCGAGTTTTTAAGTGGGGCCCAGGTTACGCTAATGTAAATTGACTCTGAAAATATAGTCAACACTAGGCTATTAAATATTAAATTTCTCATATGAGTGGATGAGTCATGATTTATAAATGAATACTATTTGAATTATGATAGGTGACTTATTATAAAAAAAAATAACTAAAAATATATTAGCGAAAATCATACTCGCCATATTAGAACGAGGGAAAAATAAAAAAAAGCTACATATTTTTAGAGGTCTAAATTCAATCTTAGTCCTAATGATTATGTAAAAATGAGGGTTTTTTTTTTTTTTTAAATAGGATGAAAAAAAAATAGTTACTAAAGATAGATAAAATTTTTAAGATCTTATAACTGTGGAATGTTCATTTATCAACCCNATAACTAAAAATATATTAGTGAAAATCATACTCGCCATATTAGAACGAGGGAAAAATAAAAAAAAGCTACATATTTTTAGAGGTCTAAATTCAATCTTATTCCTAATGATTATGTAAAAATGAGGGTTTTTTTTTTTTTAAATAGGATGAAAAAAAATAGTTATTAAAGATAGATAAAATTTTTAAGATCTTATAACTGTGGAATGTTCATTTATCAACCCATTATTGGGTAATTAGAAGTATGTTAATCACCGAGGTTGCAGTCTAGTTGACTATACAGTAGATGGTGAAAATCTTATTTTTTTGAAGTGGTCTTTGGTTCAAATTTACTTGCGATAATAGTTCTTGTAAACAAAATATTATTGAATGGATTGAATGTTCAGCTTGTTCTCGGTTGTGCTGTCATGACAGACTTGACCATCCTAGGTCAATAACTATGACGCAAAACAAATATTTTNGGTGAAAATCTTATTTTTTTGAAGTGGTCTTTGGTTCAAATTTACTTGCGATAATAGTTCTTGTAAACCAAATATTATTGAATGTTCAGCTTGTTCTCGATTGTGTTGTCATGACAGACTTGACCATCCTAGGTCAATAACTATGACGCAAAACAAATATTTNGACACTTTTATTAGCTTAGACTTTAAGTTTCCAATTGATTTTGGGGACTTGAAAACCTCTCTAAGTACTTTTTTTTTCTTTTACAGGACATCTTGTTTGTGTCGATTATTCTTTTAAATTTGAATCTGATTTTAAAGATTTAAGTCAATTTAAACCGTCATACTGACGCATGACGGAGAGTGAACCTTAGAAAGTATGAGAAGTTTAAAACCTTATTAACTTTGCTTGCAAGAAGCCAGACTTAGCCACTAAACTATTACTAAAGATTATTCTCTCAAGTATTTAAATATTACACGTGGCGGCTCCTTTCAAGTTTAGGGATGGACATGAACATGAGATCCCCTAGGGTGCAATTAGGACAAGTTGAGTGTGTAGAAAGGTTAAATTTTTCAATTTAGCTCAATCATAATCCCTTGATCCAAGTTCAATTCAAAATCTGGAGTATTGTTTATGTTTGAAATTAGAACTCAAGATAAAACTCAATTACACAACTCATTTGATATTAGATTAAAGTCATTTTCAATTCTCAAGTAACACAATTTTTGCTAGAATTTGAGTTCAGTCCAAATGTGATCACTAAATCATCTAATCCAAAATAAATTTTGAATTTAAATTTAAGTTAAGTTTGAATTGAACGTTTGACAAACCTAAACTTTCAACTTTGAGTATTGTTTGAGTTTAAATCCAATTAGAATATTCTAACGCTAGAAAACCCGTGTATCGATATTTTTGGTGGGGCCACATTCTTACCTTTTAAGCAAATTTTCATCCATTTTAAACTATGTTCTTGACTAGAATGTTCAATACACTGATCTGTGCCTTTTTACGTCATCCAAAAATTCCTTCACGACTTAGAACATAGTTATCCAGAAGAGATTCATATCGAAAATTAAAATCTTAAATTTGATAATTTCANATTGGACCAAAAATTCCTTCACGACTTAGAACATAGTTATCCAGAAGAGATTCATATCAAAAATTAAAATCTTAAATTTGATAATTTCAGGAATCAAAATTCAACACATAAACTTACAAAATCACTTCTCACATTTCTTTGAAAAATAATTATTTGAAAAAAAACAAAAAACAGATCATGTGTTAAAAAAGAAGAAATAAGATATGTTAGTATTTGGTAGTTAGTTTTGAAGAGGAAGAAGAAACATACCTAAAGTGAACGAAACGTCATCTGAATAGTCAGTTTGAGAGGCAAAACTGCACACAGGACATATAGAGAAAGACTAAAATTTTATATTTAAGGTGAGTCTCTTCTAATAAAATGATTTTGTTTTACTACAAATAGGGTTAAAAAAATACAACAAATCATGTGATTCCTTTGATTCTAATCGAAACGAAATCAAATCGTACGATTCAAGTGCAATTATCGGTCAAAAATAACTCTATAATAAAATACAAATCAAATGGAGATTAAATCCATTCGAATCGCACAATTCTTTTGATTCAGGTGTGATACTCAGCCAAAAATAATCCTATGGTTAGATACGAATAGAATGGAGATTAAATCGAATCGAATCGGACGATTTTGATAACAATAGTCTTTAAGGCACAAGAATACCTGACATTCGAACTCATGGTAAAAGAGATCTTTACCAACCAAAGGTTTTCAACATATTGTAACCATACACAAGGCACTTTAGCAGAGAAACAAGTCAGAATTTAAACTTACCCACCCAGTTTCAGTTTAAAAATATCTACCACAAACTGAAGTCACAACTCAACATTCATTAAAACACACACACACACACTACACACTGCAAGCTCAAACTATTACCTCCATCAAAAACCCGTATAGATAACGCAAGGTGCCTCCCCCCCCCCCCCAAAAAAAAAAAAAAAAAAAAAAAAA